CAGGGTAGCTTATTTTCATATATTCGTATGAAAGTGTATAGATCTATCAAGATACCAAATAAGGGTTAGCATGATGACTTTTTATCATTAAGTTTTGGAGTATAATCTCAGTCACCGGATTAGGTAGGGGACAATTTGTTAGAACGACTCCTCACAAAAAAAGCAAGTACCATATATCAATGACTCATAAACCCCCACCCGACTCACTGCCACCGGATTGATTCTGACTCTCAGTTCTGACGAAGTAGAACTGTCCCTGGGGGTTTTGGAAGCTGTACATCTTTACAGGAGAAGAAAGCCTCATCTTCTCCCCAGGTCTACGATATAGAACACATTTTTTAAAACTTACAATTTTAAAAAGGGCAGTCGTAGTTTGGGCTTTTAATCCTAGCTTTCCTGTTCTATTAAGCCAACGAACAGTGTATCATGCCCAGGCTCTGTTCTGCGGCTATTTACTGGGAAGCTGTCTTCTAGGCCCAGGAGATTCGGCAGGGAATAGACAGACTCAGTCCCTCGCCCTCGCGGAACTCACATTTAAAGTTACACGACACTGAGCACTGTGGCGCAGTGGTGATGTGTTGGGCTGCTAACTACAGAGTCAGCAGTTCCAAACTACCCGCCACTCTGAGGGAGAAAGATGAGGCTTTCCACTCCCACAGAGTCACCATGTCAGAAAGTCTGGGGACAGTTCTCACCGGCCCCATTCGGCCACTATGAGTCAGAACCGACTCAATGGCAGTGAGTTTGGTATGTTCACTTTGAGAGAATTACTAAAACTTTTTGACCCTACGCTCCTCACTCCCAAATTGGAACCCACTGAGGCTAACTTTATGAAGAGGAACTGTGTGGTGTCGAGGAGTATACAGCGGGCTGCTCACCATCAGGTCAGGAGCTCCAACCAGTCACTCCTCGTTTCCACTCCCGTAAAGATCTACAGCCTCAGAAACCCCCCAAAGAGCCGTTCTTCGTTGCCTGATAGGATCGTTTTGAGTCACCCTTGAGTCGATGGAGGGGATGAGCTGTTACAATGGCGGTGTACAAACAGGGAACCCCGGAGAGCTGGAACTTGACCGGACCATCTCGCTTTTCTGGCTTGTGCAGTGTTCCGTCTTTGACGTGGTGCAGTCTTCCCACTGTTGATGGCTCCTTTTAAAGGACACTATTTGAGTGTTCCTCCCAAGACATGTTTCTGCCTGACAGCTACAGTCAACTAAACATCGAAATTATTGAGTCGATGCCGACTCATAGTGAGCTCTTGTGTCCCTGAGTAAAACCACCCCATCGGGCTTCCTTGGCTGTCATCTTGACAGAAGCAGACCACCGGGCCTTTCTTGGAACTGCTGGTGGGTGTGAACGGTCAACCTTTAGGTGGGTGCTCGGATACCAATCTTTTGTGCCACTCGAACACTATCTAGTAAATGATAACCCGCCACAAACCAATCTTCACCTGGGTCAGACGTAGGTTATCATACTAGGTTATCACACTAGGTCAGGCTTACATTATAAATGATCCATTTCCACGTTTCAGAGAGGCATTTTGTTTTTAGCCATGTGGAAAGGAGAAAAGGGGACAAGGATTTGAGTCGGTTTTTGTTTCAGCACTTAGTTCTAACATTTATTAGATGGGCCATTTGTGTAACATTTTCCTCAAAAATAAATAACCTACCTCATGGGGTTGCTGCAAATAGATGATTAACTGGGAATTGTAAATGGTGAAGGAGTCTGTGAATATAAGTTCACTATCTGGGTCTTAAAGTTACAAACACGTGTCAATTAGACACACCAGAGGGAAGGAGACCATAAAAAATGCATATGGACAAGTGTAAGAGTGAATTCACTGTCCATACAATGACCATTCTGCTCTTTCCCACCACAGGGTCAAGAGCCGCCATTGAGCAGAACATTTAAAGAATGCTACCTTACCTCAGTTATTTGCATAATTCTGGGAGATTTTAGGAGTAAGGATGTTTATTAAGAAAGAATGACATTTTATAGCAAAGATTATAGGATACAAAGTAGTGATCTCTACATAAGTCTATTTTTATTTTTTAGTTTAGTTTTTTTCCATGGGAGCCTTGGTGAACGAGTGACAAATGGGATAAAGAGGAAGAGAAGGAGGCAAATAGATATGATAAAGAAAAGAGGCAGAAATATCAAAAGAGTAAATAAGACACCTCCCAACACTTTTTTTTCTTAAGGCAATGGAAAAGAGAGGTCTTAATAATGATGCAACACAAAATTCTTTTTTTCCTCATTGTAAGAGAAAGTAGACACAAGGACAAGTAACCTAAACTCAGCTGACAATGGACCAATTCCATGTCATTGCGAACCCACAGAACTGAATGGAACTACTCCATCAGGCTTCTGAGGTGGGACAATCTTCACGGAAGCAGACTGCCTCAGCTTTCTCCTGCCAGGTGGTTGGTGGAGTTGAACCGCTGGCCTTTTTGTTAGCAGCCCAACGCTTAACTCACTGTGCCACCAGGCATCTCAGTGTAGGCTGAGCAGATGTGGAAAAGGAAGGGCATGTTTAAGTGTTCACATACAAAGCAACTGCAGAAAACCAATGAAAGCAATGGTAGCAAGAACAAGCAAAAATAGGAAATACAGGTTATAATATAGGGGCCAGATTTCTGAACCAGATGCTTACTCTTACAAGTCGTAAAACGAATAAAAGAAATTGTTCATAAAACAAACAAAAAAACACGCTACAAATCACATTTTGCTTATATTTTGTGGTAGTAATTTATTTTACAGGAATGCCAGATTAGTTTTAAGGAGTTGGAGTATAAGATGTCCCAAATGTCCAACTCCTCCAAGATGTTATTATGGTTCAGTCAGCAATCTAAAAGTCAGGCAAAGGCGAGCCAAAGGCTCTGTCCAGAGCCAGAAGGCACAAATGTCCCAAAGTTATAGCGGGTCTTGCTTCTCTCACAGCTCAGTCAGGAAAGAGAGGTATGGCTTTCCAAGTGATATGACGTGTGTGAGAACTGTACAGTGGGACCAGCATGGCTACCTGATCCCAGGGAAACAGAGGATGGTGTCTTAAGTCCCACCCTCTACTAAGGTATACTCTTAATGATGCCCCAAGAAAAGGGTGTGACTTGGTCACACCCTCTATTTTAGTCAGGTCTCAATCTACATAATCTTGTCTGTTAGCATAGTAAAGTACAGCCTCTAAAATGGGCTTCTGGCAATGGGCGTAGAGTCCAGAATTACAGTGCATCATATATGGAATTATGGTGAGAAGGGCGTATTAAGCAACTATAACTCATATTTTACAGTAGCAAGTAAATACTGTTAATGATTCACGTATTTTAAAAACCTTATACAATTCATTTGTAGATCTTAATATATGATTCACTCTGACTTGACAGATTGAATCATGCACCAGAAGTTTAGGACAAGTGATAGGAAGAAGGTGACAACATTATCTTGAGGCAATTGTAGACAAGGAGGAGGGTCTGTAATTATATGAGATCAAATTAGTGTTTCCAGATCTAGTAATATTTCAATTCATCAAACAGCATATTTAGCAGTGAGATGCTTTTTGAGATATTTAAATAACATCTGTCTAAATTTTGCTCACCTCATATTAAGTGTTGTAGATATTTTTGGTCAATACGCATTTGCAATCTTGAGAAGTTATATACGGTGTTCACCAGTTTTACTGTAATAATCATTGGATACCAAACCCATTGCCATTGAGTCCATTTTTGCTCACAGGGACTCTGTAGGAGAGAATAGAACTGCTCATCCAATAGGGTTTCCAAGACTGTGAGTTTTTACGGAAGTAGACTGATAGATCTTTGATGGTGAATTTGAACCACTGACCTTTCCATTATTCTTTGACAGCAATAACTACTGTGCCACCAGGAATACCTTAATTATGCCATGAATTGAAAGTATAATAAAGAGAATAAATAACTTAAAAATCCAAGTATTTCCCTTCAAAAATTATATGAAATATTTTATTAATGATCTTTTTAAGTAAACACAAAAATATCTCAAGTAGTACAATTTGAAACTGCACCACTACCCTACAGTGCAATTTATAAAATGTTAATTAGTCTATGTTTAAATGCTCTGAATTGCTCACTTGAAGAAGATAACAATTTACTGTTTTACTTACCCAGTGGCATTTCTGACATGCTTTACTACTAAATTAAACTTCTAGAGTCCACGATAGAGGCTCTGAAAGTCACATGACTATATCTGCAATATATAAGGGATGGTGCATATCGCAAGCAGAGCGTGTCAAAGTGCAAATAAAGTTGTTTGTGTGCCCTGCAGAATTAGAGTACTCTGGGCAGCACAATCCCATGGTGCCAGCCCTGCAGAGTGCAAAGGTTCCCTGAGTAAGAAAAGAGCAGAGGACGGGACTCCCCCGTTACACTACCCCAAACTGTTGTAGCTTAAGTCTTTAGTAAGACAGTAATTGCTCTCTCCCCCTACCTACTTTGTGAAGTTAAGCTAAGGCATAATGGAGAGATGGCTGCTCAAAGGAAAACCAAGCATTAGCCAGGAACACTATTACCACCCAAGACGAGGACGGATTTTGTACAATGCTTTAATAAGTCAGCAGGTGATATGTCCTAAGTTTATTAGGCGATATGTACTCTCGCTAACGGACACGTGACAATGACACAACCTTAAAAAATAGCTTGATGGTAGTCTGGATTGATGTTTTCTTCCTTCTGCTTATATCACAATAAAATTATTTCTGAAAAGTTTCCTTGAAAGAGTGTTTGACATAAGAGAAAATGCCAGTTTCATTTTCTTCCATAAAATACCACATTGCAATAGGAATGATGATGTGTTTTATAATTTTGAGTAAGTAAGATCAAATATTTGTTCTAAGAAGTAGACACCTAGGGGAAATGGATGGCTAACAATCAAAGAATGATTTCTTAAAAAAAATAAAAAGCAAAGTGGTTTATAGGAAATAAAACCTAAATATGGAAAAGGAAATAAGAAAACAAAAAGAATACTTCACTTACTCGGATATACAACTGCATCATTTCTTTTTCTCTCTGGGGGTTACGATACTTCTCGTAGAAGTCACGTCGCTTCTTTGTGTCTTTAGGGATTTTGTCCCTTCTTTCCCGTTTTTCTGCTGGTTCATCTGAACTGTCAGACGATGGCTGCACATGTATCTTAGGCTTTTCTACTTCAATAAAGTTTTCATTGGGATTCAGTACTATTACTCCATAGCCTTCCTGTTTTGAAATAAAAACACCAAATGAATTCTATAAACCATTTCCAATTCATAAAAAGTTATCATACTACATGATTTACTGAAGCTGCATATCCACTAAGAAGTTTCTTTAGAAAAAATTTTTTTTTTCTTTAAGAATTCATTTCAAATTGTTTGCCTTTATAGAAATAAATACAGATTACCTATCAGAACAAAAATTGCAACTTAAAGATTGTAAAGGTCAAAACAATTTTAATTATACTTCAAGACTTCTACTAAAGTCCCCCCTAAATAAATAAATTTTCCCAAAATGATAAAAGTAGATGATTAAAAGTGAAAATCACACTTTCAGATATTAATATTTATAATAAATATTTTGAAATAATAAATTATTTAAACTGACATTTAGAATTAAAACTACATTTTGCTGGATTTTCATTTCTTTACAGTTACCCTTTAATGAGCAATCTTATCGAACAGTAAGGAAGATGAGCAACTTGAAAGGAATAAATGTGATTAAACATTCCATAGATTTTCAGAAGCATAGTATCAGAAATGTACAATGCCTGTTGTTTGCCTGAAATTTTATTGATGAGTCTCCTTTCAGGAGACAAGTGATACAAGGCAACACACTATCATGCTAAGATGCATTTTAAAATCTTAAAATTTCGTTCAGTTTTTAAACTTTTATAAGTCTTTAAATTAAAATCTCGTACCCTACGAAAACGCACATGTTAAGATGTAAAGTCTAAATTAAGGCTTGTGGTCTATTAGCCTGTTTATTTTTCTAAGTTTGTAATGCATACATGTTCCTGATTTACTTTCAACACAGTAAACATTTTGTTTATAATTAAGGAAACAGTTAATATTTCTATTGTCAAATAATTAATTAAGGAAACATTTAATATTTCTATTATCAAATAACTACAGAGAATCCATGAGAAAATAGAGGAGAATAGTTAGCCCAAACAGAAGTCTGTGCAACACAAAGTTGGAAGTTGCGTTATATATACATACACATAGATCTTGACCTTTCTGTTTGAGGCTGTACTACAGACGTCCCAATTACGTATGTCCTTGTGCAGTCTTGAAAAGTCATAGTTAAAAGATGTTTTAAATTATGATAAAACTATGAGACATACAGAATATTATGGTAATCAAATTTACTAAAACTATATTTCTTTCTAGAAGTATAACTCTTACTTGAAATTTTAATTGCTTCCTATCAAGCCTACCATAAATAGATGATTTAAAAATTAAAGCTGTAAAAATAAACATATATTAACAAGGACCAAATGATCTTACTTTGCATTATGTTACATTGTTCCACATGGTTGCTTTTTTCAACAGTTGATTTCACAAACGGCCCACAAACTTTATTCAGGCTGTTTCAATTACATACACATCACACACGTGCACACACGCACGCACGCATACACACCCTCACCTTCCCGATGATACAATTTTCTGAAAATACAGATTTGGTTTAGAGATTTGCAAGATCATTAAAGTTCTGATTTTAGTGATCGGACTGTTAATTAAGACATAGTTCTCTTCCATATGTGAAAACTATCGATACACTAGCCTATAACAAACTGGCTAACAAACACCATGCACTCTTCAAAAGCTAAACGCTTTTTAATTTTAAAGAAAGTTTTTAGATAAACATATCTTTTATGAAAGACTTATAAAATAGGTAACTTTGAAATGGAAACCTTCCACATTAAATACCAGAGTCTTTTTTTCTCCCCTTTTCTTTTAAAGTTCCTTAGCTGCTAAGTCAAAGTTACACCAACAAAAGATATTTTATTTGCTCCTGCTTTATTCTAATCTGTATAGCCATTCAAAAGTCTTGTAACTCATTGTGACCACTGGCAGGTAGACAGACTGTCACTTGGTGATTTTCTACAGTTGGACACACTTGACTAGTTATTAAAATCACATTTGAAGGAAGGCCCTACTCTTCCTTTTGCCTTTACAACTTTTCACGCCCTTCTCAAATTTCAGCTATAACTTCTCCTCCCACCGAAAGTCAGTTCAAGAACACTGTTGCCCTCTGCTAAACAGGGTGAAATGGAGGCATCCTGTACACTGTCTCTGGTATAAGGAACAGAGTCTGAAAGGTCACCAGGGGCCTAAAGGAAAACTGCCTCGCGGTACTAGATTCTGTACTGTGAGTAAGTGGTCTCCTGTCATGTTTCTTCCCTGCCTTCTTTGAGGGAAGTGAACTTTAAAACACACACACACACACACACACACACACACACACACACACACACTCTCTCTCTCTCTCTCTCTTATATACGAAGATATGAATTAGAGCAAGCAAGTTCTTAACTCTATTCTTGCATACAGATGAAAATAGTGGTATACTGTATTTTCAAGATGATATCAAAAACATCAAACTCATGGTGGGGCTTTAAAGGCATGAACATCATCTCCTGCACCATGTATGAATTCCAATAAAGGTGAACTCTTTGGACAACATTTATAGTCATCAGATTCTAAAAGGATCACCTCAATTTATCACACAATCACGGGAAAATAGTATTTTAGTTATCTTAGGGTTATTTAAGCAAACTTACAGCTCTTATAACAATCCATACATCCATTGTATCAAGCATATTGGTAGGTTTTTTGTTTTTTTTAAATAAATTTATGAAAACAAGGATAAAAGCAATTCCTGTGCTTACTTGATTTTACATGGACTCTGAAATTTCATGCATCCAATCTAAATAAGTATAAAATGCAGACACCCATAAATCATCAAAGAAGTAGTATTTGTCTAAGTTATTGATTATGTAACTGGAAATTACATGACTCATTTGTCCAATTTTATAAAGACACACTGTCAATTTTTCACTGAGGCATCAACAAATGAAAAATGATTCTATTTTAAAACCACTACTATATAAATCAATTAAGAATTTATTATCACATAGATTTCAACAATGATTCTCTTTAAACATCTAACTTATTTAGAAAACATTGTATCCAGTAGCTATTTCAGACCACCAATTTAATTAATGTAATAGCAATCAAGAAATATTCAAGAACATTTTCTGCTAAAATGAAAGATAATTTTAATAAATGTCTTTGTTGCAAATTCAATTATCATTCTGCAAAAACCTTAAAATTTTCAAATAGATTTCTGTCCTGCTAAATTAATGAATGCAATATTTACAGAGGCAAATCATAGCCACGTTACAGTGAGAAGGCGAAACAAGGAGCAACAAATAAAGTTAATTATTCCACTTACATTGTCTATGCAGTAAAATTTCTTCTTTTCCACCTTTTTGTCAAATGTAACATTGTGAAGAAACCCCTTTGCACAAACTACAAAGATTTTTGCTACTTCTGCATTAATATATGGAAACTCATGAGTAAATGCAAATAGTCAAGTAGAAACAAAATAGGCAACAATTGTTCAATGTGTAAGTATTTCAAGCATTATACCAATTTACAACCTAAAAGCTACCAATTTTTAAAATGGACTCCCTCAATTCCCAGTAACTCAATCAGTACACAACACAAATAGGTTAAAAGAGATGCTAGTCTGACTTTTACCAAATGTAGCAATAAAGTTTCACAAAAGCACCTTATAGAAATAAAGCATCAACTCTAGTCTCACAAAAGAACCACACATTTCCACTCTAGTAAGGAGACTCTGATAACCAAAGCGTGGCTTCTTACACATTTTATATGGAAGTATTCCTGAAGCTTGGCAAATTTCTCATAAGATGAAAAGTGAGGTCATTTCAAATATATATAGAAACTTCTCCTGTTATCTCTAACAAGATAAATAGATCTAAGTGATTATCTAACATCTTACAACAAAATAAATAAAACTTCTGGCACCTTTTGTAAATGATTTACCAATATCAATTGCAATACCCAACATTTCCAGAAACAAAGCATACACAGAGTTGTTAATTAACTCTTATGTTTGGCCACGGAGTGTAGTAGAAGATCAAGGAGGTGATCAATAGAAGAGATAGGGGAAAGCAAACATTGTCTTTAATTCAGCCCACTTCATTTTTAGTATATGTTTATAGCTTCATTTTCAGACCTGCGTTTATAAAAGTATACGCGATGGAATCTGAGTATCCCTTAAATTTTATTGCAAAACATAGCATCTTATTCAGCACTAGTATTTGTGATGATTTAAAGAGAAACACGGGTCTCTGGACCTCTTTTACTTTGAAGTCTAGAGATACACTTATTAATAAATAATAGTTCATCGATTATTCAATCAGCCAATGATGGCTTCGGTCAGAGGAGTCTAAACAGACAGGTGATGCTGAGCACAAAGAATCCAAGTGGAAGAAGCCTTGCTAAGAAATGCAGCCGGTACAGATATGCCTTCAGTGAGAAGGTTCTGTCCAGAGACAGCAGCTCTTAAATGCCTAACCCAAACTACAGTGCACTTCTGGCTCAAATAAAGCCTCTCTAAAACTTAAAAGTTTACCCAAGTTCATGTGCCTGTTAGTTAGCAATGACAAGCCAAATGGAAAGTGGGGGGGACATTCAATATCTTTTCAAATATGGTGTAATCAGCTAAATAATAATAATAATAATAAAAGAGCTTAAAGTCCTCAGCTCTGCATATTAACCTGCCAGTTCTGCAATGCCACATGTGAAGAGAGAGGTCAGGGGCCAGCGTCGAACCCTTTGACCTCTGGAGCTACCCGTTTGGGTCTTCAAGAAAGGCTCTGTAAGACATCATTTTACACAGATTTATCCATCACAGTTTTCACGGTCAGCATGCTCTCTGCTTGGTGTGAAAGAAGATAGGCGCGCATCTTCAAGGAAAATGAAGATCTGTAAACGACATCTGCCCATGGTTAAAATGGACAAGCCCCTGTCCATTCATCTTTTCTGAAAGATGTATGTATGTTCTGTTTATTTCCCACCTTTTTTTCATGAGAAGGGTATGTATATGTCACTGTTGCAACATCCTCAGTGCCACCGCGAGATGAGGTCATGACAACCAATCAGAAGTCACTAGTGAAGCGTTAAAGT